GACCTTTGGACATCGAGTTATATGATATTTGACGCATTTTCTGCATATAGGAGATTGCATCATGCCTCAAGCCTTAGGGGCGGAGAGTCATGACGTATGAATAGGAACTTAGAGAACTCAAGGCTTTATACCATATCCCATAAATCAAAAAACATAAAAGTTAGTCAACGAATAATTTATGATAGGACAAAACTGATAAAAGATATTCTTATCAGCAATTTTCCTTATTTAGCTGAACTATGAAAATTTTTAGGGAGACTTCCATTCGCTGCCACCAAAAGTTGCCCGATTCATCGCCGAAAAGGCTGAGCTTATGGGCCCAAAAGGAATTTTCATCTGCGATGGTAGCCAGAAAGAATTCCAAAGCATTGTCGATGATATGGTCAAGGATGATGTACTCAAGCCCCTGAAGGCCTATGATCACAAGTGAGTCGAAGAGAAAATTGATATTTTGACAATTCTGTGACTCAAAAATCTTGAAAATGATCTACAAGTCGCAAGCTATCGAAATTAAACACATTTACACAAAAAATAAAAAATTACATTACTTTCATTTTGTCCCTTCATCTGGACGCAAAGTGTTGATTTTTACTTTTTTATTTCCCTCTCCGGGACTCCTTAGGTCCAGGAAATCTAGAGAATTTTGATGGTTTTGCGACCGTTGTCAGAAGTTCTTCACCTGTATGAACTTTTTTGGCCCTATGCGGCTCCTAGTGGACGTTCTCATTTTTTTCAATATCTTTATGGTTGTTTATGAAGACTTGGGAATAGTGCGAAGTGCCTACGGCTAAAGCAAATTTGAGAACTGAGCAAATATTCAATAACAAAAATAGTTTCGGGACATACTTAATTTCAAACTATCCGGTCTTGAGGCTAAGAAATATTTAGAATTTCTCTGAAACCCTCAGAAATGTCCTTAGCAAGCTGCCTTCGTATTTACTGAGAACCTGTACGAACCACGAACTTCTCCCGATAATTGGCGCATTCAATTTTTCTATAAAAAGAAGTCCTATGCGAATAAGGCGATTAAACGAAACATGTTCTCTTAAAGTCTTTTGAGTGTGTGGAGCGCTCTAGAAGAGATCGAAAAACCCTAAGGACAACTTTAGGGCAGCAGCGCACGTTAGAGCCTCAGAGGCTTTGACGAGGGAAACGAATGAGAAGTACTCTAGGGGCGAAGTCGTAAACAATTTGAATGTATGCACACTACTGAGGGCATCTAAGCATAACAAACCGAAGCTTTTGGGCTCTTTTTAGCTCTGCGAATCATTCAGAGAATTGACTGAGAGGATTTTGAGGGGAGTGGGTGGGGGCGAGGGAATAGGGCTTGTTTAAGGACTAGTGGGCAATTTTGTCGTCTCTTCGCG